CATCTCATCCATAGCTTTCAATCCTAAAATCACAAGCATGTATAAGTAAATATATATATATATACATATATATATATATAAGTATAAGTATATATATAAATATATATATATATATATATATGTATCTATATGTATATGTATAAACCTAGAAAAATGTATATTTATTACGACTCCAACAGGTATGTTAAAAGATACCACACACAAGGATAATGACATTTCCAAAAGGCTGCTAAAGATTAGAGATCCAATCCCGGTTTGTCGGTGCTGCATCATTCCGCATGGCGGTGGCAGCAAGGGTACCACATGCATGCAGTGGCAGTAATCACACAGGGTGAAGAAGTGGAAGACGGTGCTGATGAAGGTGTGATTCCAGTGTTCACCTCCGTGGTTTGAGCTCATGTTCCTGGACACATACGCTGGGTGGAAACTAGACCACGGAGCCTGTCTGTGCGAAGAAGATGAAGAATCAGCAGAAGAAGCAGAAGAGCCACCACCACCACCACCATGTAGGTATGCGAACAAATCTGAAGAAGACCTTGCTCACATCTAACCCAATGGCTGAATGGAAGCGGATAGTGGGAAGGAGAGGAGGAGGACCAGACGAGGTCCACGATGTGGCGGTGGACGACACGGATGGGGCCCACAACGACAATCACTAGCAAGGGAAATTGGCGTTCATTACTCGTAATCAGGACAGCGTCATTCTTCCTGACGTCACCCTGACAACATAAGATTCCGCGCGTCAGGATATATAATTATTGAACTGCATCAGGGGCGACGTAAGTCTATTACTAGGCCTCTAGCAGTCGGCAACTGGATGCCCGCGTGTTCTTATATTTTCTTGTATATGTATATTATTTTTCGTTTTCAAGACGTAATTATGCGTCGTGGATGCGGAGTCTCTGCGTCGAGCCGTGGCCGACCTCGATGCCTTCCGATTCCATCCTTCTTCTCTCGACCCGGCCGACTGCCACGGTGGTGCAGAATCTTCGCCTCTGGGACTGGGTTCCAGGTCAGAGACGAAGACGAAGCCCAAGCCCAAGCCTATATCGCTATGCATCCATCACTGCTAACCGCAGATGACCTGGAAACAGTGAACTAACTCTGGAGAGAGAGACACACAGACATACACATGTCAGAAACCGATGGATGGACAATCCTGCAAGGATACGGCCGTGGGGTGGGATCGGTAAAATATCCGTTGCCTTGATCAAAGCCAGAATTCGGGGACTTGTGCACCTACCAACCCTGGGTACGCATCGACAGGACAACGATGCACTTCCGAAATCGCTGTGGCAAGTTGGGAAATTATCAGTTCACTGTGGCAGAGCTTGCTTGGTGATCGACGCACAAAACTCGCTTGCATTCATCACCGACAATATCCTTTGAGGACGTGTGGCGCTTTGTTGCGTTGGTGAATAGTGAATATCCATTTTTATCACCACTAGATAATACTCTTCATTGATAAATCTAGCGCACGTCACAACCAGCCAAAAAAAGAAATGTAAAATACAAGGACAAGAAATCAAAAAGTGACCTTCAGTTTGATGGGTTTCCGCACTGGATCATTCATAGGATACATGGAGTCGAATCTGACAGCGAAATGGAAACCCACCCACTGCAGCACTGAAGTGAAGTGCCAGGATGGGCCATCGTTCACTGTAGCTGATGGATCCTTTGGTTGTAATGGCAGGGCAGCAGCCGCTGCTACAGCCTCCCTCTTTTTTGCCTCGTTTTGATCGCTTTTACCCATGCACAACTATTGCCTCCGAAGCCTCCGAGTCCTCCGAATCCTTCGAACCCTCCGAATCGGCTGTGGTCGCCATCCAACTGCTTTTCCTGCCATTTTCATGCTCACCTCCTTTCCTCACCTCTTTTGCTCCACCTTCGCAGCATTGTGTCCGTTTGATCCACAGCAAAGGATGTCGACAAAACCATTAATTTTACCGTACTGTAGAAATGCTTTCATCTGCTTCGTTGTTATGATCTTTGGATTCAAATAGTTCATTCAAAAGTCTTTTTTCTTTTCTCTTTTTTCTTTTCACGTTTTGGAATTCATTGTGGAATTTGGGGTTGGTTGTTTGTTCATTGATTTTCTCAATTATGTGTTTAATTCATTGCTGAAGCGGCCTTCTTCTATTACAGTTGTGTCGCAGTATCATCCTAGCAGAGTCTAACGTAGTAAATTGTTCCTAGATAGTTTCAAGCACGGGGAGATTGTAGAAGCATTTGAAGTGAGAATCTATTTAGCTTATCCACGAAGAACACACTGCTGAACAAGTGGCTTGGAGGGATAAGATTGAAAACTTATATAATTACTCATTCATCTTCAATGTCAATAGATTACTTCAATTGAAAAATTATATAATTTCTCATTCATCTTCAATGTCAATAGATTACTTCAATCTATGAGTTGGTTGTAACTCATTTATTTGTTTAAATGTAAATGAATAAATAAATGGGATGGTACTTGCATAATTTGTTTATAATAAAAATATTGAAAAGTTTGAATTGCATATTTTATCTAATAGATGTAAAAGATCTTATCTAGTAAACTTGTCCAAAAAAGCTTTTGTCTTGTAATTGATATAATTGAGGCAAGATTGAGACCATCAAACTTATCTTGGTATTTGTATACATTTTTCTTTTTTTTACATTATTATTTGGTTGTTTAGTCATATTTTAGTATTGTGGTTCCTTGTATATATTCTTTGATATTATTTTTACTTGAACATAAAAAAGATCAAATTATATATATATATATATATATATATATTTGTACATACATACTAGTAAAAGTGCATGCTATTGGCCACAAAAAAACATTGTAAACTATGTGTTATAAATTAGCATATTGTTTAAGGCTCATGTGACATGAAACTCCATGTTGCATGTCATTCTACTATGTTCCATGGTATTCCACATTGTGGTGCTTCAGAGCTTGACTCCTAGTGATCTTGCAAGGCTACTCTTGACAATTTGCCACAACATCATGCAAATTTTGGTCTTTGATTGATCAAAAGTTGAGTTACTGCTTTTCTTTTGCTTCCCTTTGATGAAAACAATGAGATATATAGCCAATCAAAGTAGAAAAATAAAGAGAGGAAACTTTTGCAAACATTAAAGAAAAAAAATAAAAAATAAAAAAATACAATGATTGTAATTCATATATGAGAGTTATCTGTTAACGTTGCAAATTTTGTTGCAATCATTCATAAGGTAATTGTTTTTTGGAGTCAAGGTATTTAAAGATCAAGAATAAAACTTATAAAGAAACAAAAGTGAATATTCAATAAAAATAAAAATAAAACAATTGCTTGCAAGGTGGGTCATGTAGCCACTCTTGTATGGACTTGGTTCAACAGATCAAACAAGCATCCATGGATCTATGTGGTCCAAAAACAATTGGTCACAATTTCATATATATATATATATATATATATAACTTTGAATCAATCATGAACAGAAAGTAATATTTGAAAATAAAGAAAAAGAAAAAAAGGGGGTGGGCAAAAGATTGGTTAGAATATATCTTTATGAGACATGGTAAAGCTTATGATACCTAAAACATTAGACATATGGACCCAGTTTTTGTTGCACCAATTGTGATCTTTGTAGTACAAGTATCCAGGATTCTCTTGTTTAATTATTATTTAATACTTTATACTTTAGTATTTTAGCATGTAATAACGTTAAGTCAACAACTAGCAGATTTATTATTATTATTATACATTTTTTTTTCTTTATGGATAAATCACTTGGAAAATTTGTGATCTACAATCTTAAAATCAATGCATTTAAAATGATCAAAAAGAGAAAGAAAGAAAAATTAATTTTGAATGACAGATGATTTAATAACTACTTTTTAGAAGTGTAGAAAGCTTCAGATCGCAATTTTGGATCAGATTCCAATTGTTTGATGACATCAATAAATAGAAACTTCCAAATTTATAGTGGTTCTCAATGCATATTTTTATGCAGTCTTTAAACTCCAACCTTAAGCACAAGGGAATTCGAATATAAAGTAAAATTAATTTTGAAAAAAAAAATCTGAAAAACATTTGGTTTGTTAAATTACTGTATGAAACTTTGAATGAAAGAAAAGAGAAAACTATAAATTAAAAAATAATGTATACATATAATATTAAATTTATTTATGATTGGGGCCTTGATTCTGTTAATTTTAGAGTGTTAACTATTGACATGTAAATTAGCATGATAAGGTATACTCTGTGAATTTTAAAAATTCACATTGATTTTATAAAAGTGAATTGTTTCACTAATAACAGAGTAAGAAAGGAATGCCCGCTTCACAAACATCATCCGTATGGATTCGGCATATCATTCGTTCCTTCCTAAGTGAGAACTTTCATCCATGAGGGAAGGGACGAGGGGGACGATGAAAGGCAATGGCGGTGGAGGCAGGCAAGGCAGGCGGTGAGGGAGGAAGGGGGTAGGGAGGGAGGTACAGAGCTGGCGGTGGCGGGGCGGTGGAGCGGTCCAACCTACCGCGTCGCGATGCCGGCCCAGTCACTCCGCAGCAGCACTGGCACGGTTGTAGATGCTTCGGTGCCCATCTTCGTCCTTGGTCCCTCGTCCCTCTCTCTTCCCCCCTTCTTGCTCTCTCTCCCCTCCCTTCCATTTCCCTTCTTCTACCACCACTCATCCACACTTCTACTCACTTGTCCACACAAACCCAACCTCCTCATTCTTCACGCATCCCCCCCCCCCCCCCCAACTTCCTCCCTTCCTTGCTGCTGCATCGCACGCATCGGTTCTGAGAACCCAACCAACCCAACCCAATCCCCCTTCCCCTCCCAAGCAAGCAAGCAACAACGCCCACCGTCATTCGGCTCTGCCGGCTACGCATCAGGGAGGAAGAAGTCACCTCGGCAGCATCATTGACGTCGGTCCTCCCCTCCTGCCGACGCTGCTTCTTCCTCATCACATCCTGGTCGTCTTCTTCTTCTGCTGCCGGCGCCTTGCACTCGTGGTAGGTGTCTCTGCCTACTTCTGCACCCCCCTCTACCTGTCCCATCCCTGTGTGGAGTGCATGGTCTGCGGGTTCGGGGCTGGTGGGGCTGATCAGTGCTTGCTGGAAGCGGAGCTGTACGATTCTGACGGTGTTTATGTGCATCGGCAGTGGGTGTTTGCGCGCACATGCGAGAGCCTGTCTGTTGTCAGTGGAGTTTGCATTTTGTCAAGTTGGGTGGTGTCGTGGGGGATTGTCGTGGTGTGGGTGTTTTCTCGGTGTCAAGCTATTGGCGTTTCCGGCCTGTTTTTTGGTTTTTTTTCCCTCTTGCGTGTGCATCTCGAGGTCTGGGTAGGTCAGACGCTCGAGCAATAGGATTTTTGTAGCATTTCCCTCGAAACTCTTTCTCGTCTAATGCATTTTGATTCCACCCGAGCAGGGTTATTCATCGCATCGTGGTCGTACGTAGATGATCTATCTAGATCATACCACGGAGGTCACTACGGCAGAGGTCGCAAGTCGCAACCTTACTCGCTTGTGTGTCACTTGCCGTTAGACGACACGTTTCTTAATATAAAAAAAGAGTACTCGACCGTCTTTGATCTGTTCAGGATGCCGAGTACTTTTGAGACGCTGATAGAGGAGTGAAGAGACAGAGACACATGCATGGACCCAACAATGGTATAGGTTCTTCTATGATGTGTGAATTGCAATTGCACGGTTGGTTTGAGATGCTGCATTGATGTCGTAATCTTCGCAAGGTTAATGATCCTGTGTCCTGCCATGGAAAAACCGTCTCTCTCGAAGCTCGCGGTCCATGTTGTAAATCTCTTGTCTGGAGCTTTTTTCCTCAGGGAGCGTGCACTAGTAAATTTCTCTCGTCGCACACGTTACTTGTGTGCATAACTACGCTTGTGCAAGATCTCAACATGAATGTGTGAAGTTCCAAATCCTGATGAGCTCAACAACAAGTCTGAGGTCTAGGTACGGTATCATTAGGTGAGCTGTGCGTGCTTTTGATCTTCCTCCTCATCTTCGTTCCATCATATTTCCAGGGTGAAGTTTAGTCGACATGGCTGTGCATCTTGTGCTCTAAACATGTCTGTCATGCTGTGATATATTGCGAGCACGAGTACGATGTGTTGACGCTTTCTATGTTACTCTTGCAGTTCTTCAGAAAATCTTCGATATATCCATCCCTATTGGGAAGGATTTCGTTGGATAGTTCATGAATTTGACAATCTCCAGCATTATAGAACAGGGGAAACCCAAAGCAAAAAATTGTTGGGATCCCTGCGGCGGTGGCAAGATCAGGGAGCAGGGATTGCAGCTGTCAAGCAGTATAGGAACCTCAAGAGTGAAGATAGAACTTGAAGGTAGCAAGTCTGATTCGAGTGTGGAAGAAGAGTCCAAGGGAATGCGGTTAGCAGCAAAAGACACCAGCGGTCGGAATGCTTATAAATATCGGAATATTGATTTGAACAAAGCCCCATCCACCTGGGATGCAGATGAAGTCACTGTGAGCAGCACCAACGATACGACCAATTTTAGGGGTGTTCGGCATCGACCTGAGTTAAACAAGTGGGTGACCGAAATTCGACCTACTTCCCAGAAACGTAAAATATGGCTGGGAACGTACGAGACCCCCGAAGAGGCAGCCCGGGCGTATGACGTGGGAATCTTCTACACTAAAAAAAAGATTCCATACAATTTTGAGGACTCCCCCAAGAAGCTGCAGCAACTCCCCATTCCACCGGAGCTGCCATGGGAGAGTTTTGCCGCCGTTGTGAAACAGAGGGCTACCTCCGCTGCGAAGAGGGCGCGGGTTCCCTCCTCAAGCTAGAGCAATAACCAGCGTAATCGAAGCTGGTCGGCAGAGAAATGTTCATCCAGGTGAGCCGTGATCTTCATGCTCTAATAGTGGCTTGAAAATTATATCGAACACCATGAGAGCATGAGGTGAAGCCACACGGTAGGAGGTTGTGTATGGAGTGGTTACGCTGGGAGTGCGTTGAGTAATAATGTTCCATGGCTCGAATAGCAGCCATAGCCGTGTGCAAGTGAAGAAGACAGCCGATTGCGTGAAGGTTCCGTCATCCCCATCCCCGTCTTTAACTTGTACACGTTGCTAAGTGTCCACTTGAACAATTCATTCATGGACCCTGCTCATGTACCCTGCCTCTAATGTCATGGTGGAGCTAGCTGAGTAAGCAAGCGGCTTAAGAAGCGGACAGTTTGTGGAAGTCGTTGATGAACTGCTATGTACATGCAGCTGAGTCCTAAAGCGAGGAATCTGTATATTATTGGATGTGGTACGATGGGTCGCTTGGTTTCTTCTTCTTGTGAAGGTCTCATGGATATGTCAAGCTCCTCCCAATGAAACTTACTTTTGATCTAACAAGAGGTTACTTGGTAAACGTGACTATTTTGCCGTATAATCTCTTTCATGCCACTGGAATTTCCTGCAACGTACGGTCTTCCGCCAGTGCACTGCGCTTCTGATGTGCACTGAACAGACATTAGCGTATAGTAGTTGAGTTGCAGTTTTAGTGCAATTTCTCAACCAAGCATAGTCTCACCTGAAATCGAAGAGGGAGAACAACCTTACTGCCATTGCAATTCCGAAGATGGTTTCAAACACCGTAATCCTGTGGAAGAAGCCTCATTGCAGGTGCCACTGCCTTCAAGCAACCTATTTGTTTGCACTTTTTTACAGACAGCTTTACTCTGATCGTTCTTTTGGTTCAACTTCTTTGAAAAAACTCCTGGACGCCGTAAACCTTTCGGAGATACAATTTGCTTTCTAGCGCTGAACCTGCATCTCCATTTTGTCTCACCTCTCGAGATCTGCCCTTTGCCAGAGTCTAGGGGACATGCTGTAATCCTGCCTATTCAAACATGCCATTTTTGTCCATTTTAGAATCCAGTGTTCTATGCCCAAGTCACGTTTAAGTAATGGATATGTTGCTAACATAACTTACTATTGGATCTATTCGCATAAACGGATTAAATATTCTTAAGTTAGTGTATACCCCATTTTGTGTGGACAGTAATACAAATTCGGCAGAGCGAGGTGGTCTGCAGATATTTCGATCGTAAAACATGGTCGTTGATACTGACGGAGGCCTCAACTGTGGACGAGTACGTAGGAGTTGGTTGACGATAATGTCAGGCCGGTGATTCAGCCGGCGGCAGACTGACAGAACTGCGAAAACTGAACACGCACCTACCATCCCGAGACGGTCGATATTTTCGGTCAATGATTTGGTGCATTCTCTAGTCTCGGAAACAAGACCTGGTTCGAACTTACGCCACAGGCGCGGCACTGATTAATGGCTCCCCCTTGGCGTGGTGCTGAGATCTGCAACTATCGGGTATATTTCCCACTCGGTTGTCATTGGTTGCATGATTCGTTGCTGCAGCTACCGACGCAGTTATCGTGCCACCATTATCATGCCGGCAGAGTAGCCATAGGCGTGTCTGACGATTCGCTGTATCCTGGCACCATTCCCGAAGCATTTATGCAACTAGGCAGGGCTATTCTCAGTCGGTGATCAGTTGGACGTGATTTTATTTACTACAAGTTTTACGATCTTGGCCACATTCAGGTCCGGATCCCGTCATCCCACCCGTTGCCAACGTGCTCTTTCTTTCGCAACACTTCGTGATCGGCGTCGGTACGCTATTAAACTCTTGTTGGCGGGTCACTTCCGGATGCCCAGCCTTTATCTACAATAACCCAGGATTCAGATCTAAGGGTTGACCGTCTCCCTTGCAAAGGAAAACACCTAGAACCCAGAACCTTTCAACGGTCTCACGTTCGTCTCAAGGGTAACCTCACTTTCCGTGATTGGTTGCAATGTCGAGCTGGGAATAGTCGTGGCGTAGCATTAAAGGTGTGGAAGTGGTCTATCCTTCTGAAAAGCAACGCAGCATGGAGTTGAGCAATTGCATGATAGGCTGCGTACCCCCTTGAAGTGATAGTAGTACATTTATGCAGTGTGTGATGAGCACTGACGTTTGGAGGTGACAGTGCCTTGACCCTACATGGGTTACATCCTCTTCTCTCATTGGTGGAGGATCATTGGTGGTGACATTGCGGCAAGTTCACAGTGCTTTATGCTCAAAGTCACAGTCCAACTTGGAAAAATCGTATTTGAATGTGCTGCTATTACCCCCCCCCCTATTTTATTTTTTATTTTTTAAAATTTATTTTTCTCTCCCGTACCAAAAACACAATGCGCAAGGACCCCAAAGTTATCAGGTATAACATCAACCGACTTTAAGCCTACTTTCAACATTCAGACAGTCCTTTCGGTAATTCTAGAAGTAAATTCTTTCTCTTCTTTACTACTAGTTCAATTATTTTTTTTTGTTCTGTGAAGTTTGCTTGGGATTGGTTCTTCTGAGAAAAGCTTTTGTCATTGCGATGGTTGTAACTATCCTTTTGGTAAGAATTATTTGCTCATTTATTCTCTCAAAGTAATTGGTAGATGATTGGATTACCTTGACTTTTTCCTTCGCACATTGATGTGCTTCTTCACAGTCACACTGCAAACCTTCATCTCAACAACATTAAAAGTTACATAGAAAATGCTGTAAACTATTCTTCTTGACAAAATCGTATAGAATCTTGCTTAAGATTACCACTAAATTCTAGATTACCACTGAGTTTTAGATTGACTGTATTTTCTTTGACCACATCCAATCATTCATTCACTTTCACACATAATTTGGTCAAGAAATTACACAAGAAAAATTTAGTTTACAATATCTGCCACAGAACTCTTCAAAATTGGCGAATGTTAGTTGTCTTCCTCCATGAAAGAATATTTAAAAACCAATTATCACGGCAAAATATCATTTAAACAGCGATAACTGTTCTTACACAATGTTCTTGAGTTTGTAAAAATCCTTGTGCTACTAGGAATTCCATTACATAATGTCCTCATATGAAGTCCTTACAGAGTTGAAGCTTCATGCCTTTCTTCTTAAGTAGGTACAAGGCAGATGTTGCGCAAAAGGCTGCTACGCAGTTCAGAAGTGGCAGAATAAATCTTACAGCTGCCCAGAGTCTTTGAAAACTGTTCCTTACCGTGCATGACACACCCTCAATCCTGGTTTGAAGATGGGTAATGAACTGTTTTCAACCTTTGCCAAGGGGGTCCTAGCTTAATAAAAGATGAAAACCCTCTCAATCAACCATTTCAACTATTCCAATGAATTAAGACATAACCCCAACAAATTCTGATGTAGGGTGCCACAAACCTTGTGCACCAAGACTTCTCTTGAAAGATACTTGCAAGCCAGAGCCCTGCTTGGCACGGGCTTCAACAATCACTTTCAACTGAGAATGCAGGAGTTGGTATTATACATTGGTGAAAACCTCATATACAAGCTTAAAAAAATGGTCGAGGCTGTGCACGGAGGAAAAAGTCATTGTTGAATTGGAAACACGTACCTTAAAACATTTATCAGGAAACGAGAAGGCGCAACTGTTGAATACTCAAAGTGATGGGAGATAACCGGGAAAGAATACCACACTCCCATTCTATTTAGAAGCTGGAAATCGAAGAAGACAGTTGCCACATTGTCCATCATCTCACCAACGTGCACACACAACTTGGACAATATGACATCAGCGTCAATTGCAGGGATCACGTACTGCAATTGAAGTCATACTCAGGACCTATTCAAATTCGGAGTATTTGTCATGAATATAACTATCTAAAATACAGAATTAAATGCTGAAGGTGAGAGGATATCAAGTGCGAAATGATGTGTACCCGTTGGAGTTATCATTCACATACTGCTGCACCCTCCCTGCAAATAGAGCCGCTCAAATACATGAAGTTTCAAGGTAACAGCATCATTTAATGTGCATCAATAATATCTAAAAGCTTACAACTTGTTCCACTTTCAGTCGATTCTGCATGAACGAGCGCACCTTCGTGTCAAGGAGCTTTCTCGTGTTTGGAGGGCACAGATCTGCAGCGTATCTATTCAGCGCCATCGTCAAGTCAGAGTACGTCAGTTCTACGTCTGCGATATACCCCAGAAGTTGCAGCAATTGGGGTTTCCATAGAAATTCAACTGAGCTGGGAACCGCCATCTGGGCCCTGCCAGAAAATTTAGAACGGATTGTGATAATCCAGAACTCCTTCAACAGCTTTACCAAGTGTATTACAGTTTGATCATTTTCGATCTCTACGGTCATAGCGTCATCACTGAAGTTATGGTAACCAGGGTTTTACTTCAATTCTCCCGCATATTCTATCCTCAACCTCACTGCTTCTGGCAAACAGCCGAACGCAACCACTTCCCGCTAAGACAGCTACCGTCTTCCACCAACACGATCCAAGCTCCGCACAGGCCTAATTGCTGCCGCTTGCACTGCCATCAATGCCGAACTTAGAACTCACAGATGCGGAACCCTAGACATCAGCATCTTCAGTCCCTCAAAAGCCATCCCAAATTCTTCCTACAAACTCACGAACCCCAGATCTCGATTCAACGTATTCGAACCATGCTCTGGCCGATGGTTTAGTGTTTCGGAGGAATTGTGGGGCAGACGCAGAATAAACGCTGCGAAACTGGCAGCATAAGCCCATTTGTTTGTGACTAACGGAGTGATCACCCATTCTCCAATATGTTTGCACATACACATACAGATTGCTATGTTTTTCAAGCATGAAGATATGTATATATATATATATATATATATATACACACATATATGTGTGTGTATGTGTACTTGTTCGTAACCTCGTGGTGCTGCATGTTTAGCAGGTTCTGGCATCAGCAGTGTAATTCCAACGTTGTGGGTAATAGTGTGGGCTTGTCACTTGAAGCACTCCTCACTATTTCGGCCATTGTCTAAACAGGCTCCTCAGCACATGAACACACAACACTGATCACATTTGATGTTATAATCAGTGTGCTGGTTGTGATTGAGGTTTGAGGTTACGCTGTAGAATACTAATTTTGTGTGTTGTAGAATCGAATCATGCCCACAATATTGATTTCAAATGTTCGTCTTTTGAGATCCTTTTACTGCTCTGGACGAAGTCTTCTGCCACACAAGTTTGCTTGCCATAGTACTTAAGATCAAACGGCTCTTTGGAAGTAGAGATATAAGTTGTATATAAATATATATAAATAAATAAATAAATATATATATATATATATATATTCATAAATGACTAAATAGGCAAATTGGTCAAAGTGAATTTTTTTATTTTAATTGTGATTAATTATATTTTTTATTTAATATTATATGACTTGAGTAATGAATGGCAATGTCATGTTATTGCTAAAACTTTTGTGTACAAATATAAGACACAAAGTAGATGACATTGTCATTCTAATGTAACAATTTTTATGCATTTTCATTAAATGAAGCTCTAACTCAAGATGTGAAATTTTTAACTTGTAGTTTATAATAGAATAGATTTTTATTGGGAAGCTTTATGAAGATTCTAAATGGGTAGTTTGTAAGTTTTTATGATCATTAAGTTGCAAAAAGGTGACTTAAGAGTACAAAGAATAATAAGTTATTTTTAATTGCATAAGATTTTTTTAATTTTAGAGCTTTAATAGTGCTTTAGAAGGTTTTTAGTTATGTATAAAAACTAATCTTTATAAGAGTTTTTTTTGTAATACTTGATTTAATTAGATTTTTAAAAATATTTTTGTACTAATATTTAATTATAATAAACTAATTATAATAAAAGTTGATATTTTCTTGAGATAATTAAACTTGATTTTAAAAAAATTATTTATGATTTAATCTATATATATATATATATATATATTAAGAATTAAATTTTATGTCATAAAAATTTGTACTAAGTTAATAAATAGAAATAAAAAATAAAAAAATAAAAAAATAATTAAAAAATTTATTTTTTTTAAAAAAA